AAAAAAATAAATCATTATAAAACATATGGAATTTTGATATAGAATCATTAATTATGTATACAAACCTTATAAAAAACGTATCATTTCCTTATTTCGATTTCTTGTAGGGTTCCTTAATGCAAATTTTTTCAAATTTTCACTATGGTCCCAAGTGGATGCATTTAAAGAGATCTCATTGTACTAAGTTTTCTTAGTAAAACTAAAGCTGCAATTGCGGTTATTACTAAGTTTTCTTAGTAAAACTGAAGTTGTGATAATAGTTATTACTAAGTGTTTTTAGTAAAACTGAGATTACAGAGTTATTTTACTAAGTTTAATAGTAAAAATTTAGCTGTTACTAAACTTATTTTGTAAAAGCTATCTTTGAAAATTTTTAGTGCAATTACTGATAATTTTCTTAATTAAAACTTTATAATAACTTTATTTTAATATAATATTATAAAAATTAAAATTTTTTTATATTTGATTTGATTTGATTTGAAAAAATCAAATCAAATTCAAATTGCTTAAATATTTGATTCAATTCGATTTTGAGAAACTCTAATCAGTAAACTATGAAGTTTCCATTATATTATGAAGTTACCAGCAGATTATAAAGTTACCTTCATGACCTAATCCAAGTCGCATATGACTTTTATAATATAATTATATTATGAAAGTCACATGCGACTAGTGATATTAATTAAGATTATACATTTTTTTTAGATTTTTTATATATGAAAAATCATATGATATGATATCATTTTAACCATTATTATTTATATTTCAACTTTAATCTTCAAAATTGAAACATTTTAATTTTTTGGATTTTTATTTTGATTTTATGTATAGTAATTACTTTTTTTCAAATATTTTTACTACTATTAGTTCAATAACCTAAAGTTTATATTTACTTAATAGGATGGTTCTAATGATTATATTTTTATCAAAATGTAATAATTAGATCAAAAATTATTTCATTTATAAATTTTTTATATTTTATGGAGAATATTTAAATATTTTGATTAAAATAAATCCACTTTTTGAATAATAATTTAACAGATTTGAATTATTAATTCAAAATTTTATCAAAATTATATTAATGTTAATATTCATAAAATAAATTACATTTTTTTAATAATAATTAATTTATTATATTTAATGAAAAAATGTTATTAAGTGAAAATGGGTAATGATCATTACTAAATTTATTAATTTTTCACTTAATTGGGATGTATGTCATATAAAATCAACATGGATTAATTAATAAATATAAAAAAAATTTCAAAAAAATTTTTTAATTTTTAATTTTTATTATTTTATTGTTTTTTTTTTTGTAAAAAAATATAAAAAATTATATAATACATTTCAAGATTAAATAAAGTTATTCAGTAAATATTGAAATGATTGTGTATCAAATTTTTATTTTTTATTTTTTATTTTATTTAATTTTTCTTTCAAAATAAATTCTGATATTTTGCTCAAATAAAATAGCTTTTTCAAAATTAAACAAAGTTATTCAGTAGGTATCAAAATGATTATGTATTAAGTTTCATTAGTATTCATATTTACAAAATTATCAATTTTTTCATAAATACACTAATTTCTTTTTTATTTTTTATTTTATTTAATTTTTTCTTTCAAAGTGAATTCTAATACTTTAGTCAAATGAAGTAGGCTTTACAAAACTAATTAAAGTTATTCGGTAGGTATCGAAATAATTGTATATCAAATTTTATTAGCATTCAATAAATATTTATAAAATTATCAATTTTTTTTATAAATACACTAATTTATTTTTTATTTTTTTTATTTTTATTTTTTTTTAAGGAAAATTCTGATACTTTGATCAAATGAAACAGTCTTTTTATATCAAATTTCATTCCTATTCAATATATATTCATGAAACTATCAATTTTTTTCATAAATACACTAATTTCTTTTTTATTTTTATATATATTTTTTTTAAAAATTTAAATATATAAGTATAATTCAGTAAGATAAAACTGATTTTGTATTTATATTTTCTTTTTAATAAAATTTGTAGCAAGATAAAACTGTAGTAAAAAACCCAATCTTATTATTTGATAAGAAAGAGATTAAAATATTTGTCAAAAGTTTAATAACAAATTATGTGATATGATATAAGAAATAATGGCATTTGACAAAATATTAAAAAAGGAAAAAAAATTTTTAAAATAAAAATTATGAAGAAATTCTAATACTAAAAAAAAAAATTATTTTAAGAGTTTAATTTGCTTTGAAATTAAAAAGAAAAGAATTGATTTGAATATACAATATCATTAATCATAGTTCATGATTTGTGATCATAATAAATCACTAAGATCTGAACTTTCTTAATTTTCTAATTAAACTATTCTTTTTATATAAAGACAAACAATTTATATATGTATTTCAAGTAATTATTTATTCTTTTCATTTTATATTATTATTAATTATAAATAAAAATCTTTTATGTTTTTAATAATAATTTAAATTTATAGATTACTATTGATTTTTGATTACTAATAATCAAGTTATTAATTTAAAGTTGGTTAATAAGTCGTCATATCAAAGAGAATTCATTACGAGAATTAAACCAATGAATTACCATGAAGCTTAAAATTACATTAACAATCTTGCATAATCTCGCATTAGATTTCCCTAAATAAAAAAAATAAAAAAAAATTCGTTGGATTTCATAAAACGCAAAGAAATAATGTATGTTACTGGTAAAAGATTAGTTCTACCTCGGCTTTCGGATAATTCAATTCCACATGTATTTCTCGCAATTATTTAAAAGAACAACGACAAATGTACCATAAAATAAGGCAACGTTGTTTCCACCAATGAAACCAACCAATATGAAGAATTTTGTATTTTTGTTTCGAGAGACTCCATTATCACATTTAAGAAGTGTTCGTGAAAATATATATTGTATGAAACGATTTTATAGTTCAATAAGCGCAACTAAATCAGGTACGATTTAAATTTTTGTATAAAATACATTTATAAAATGACAGTGAAAATAGCAAAATAAATTCCATGAGATTCATGATATCGTTTATAAATATGATCATTAATTTCGTTATATTTGACATACTTTAGGTCGAGCGAAAGTTACGATACATACCATAGAAAAATTGTACAAGAACAAAGAGGCAATCACTATGCTCACCGCGTATGATTATCCTTCGGGATTATTTGTCGAAAAAGCAGGAATCGATATTTGTCTTATAGGTGATTCATTAGGAATGGTAGCATTAGGTTATCAAAATACTTCACGGAATACCATGGAGGTATTTAAGATTCCTTTTCCCGTATTCAATTTGGAATTTAATTTGTTTATTCATTAATTTTTTTTTTATTTACAAAAAGGAAATGCTTCATCATTGTCGAGCCGTCGCTAGAGGTGCAAAATCCCCTTTCTTAATCGGTGATATGCCATTTGGAAGTTACGAGACGAGCCCTACAGATGCATTGAAAAATGCTATCCGTTTTATTAAAGAAGGAGATATGGAGGTATTATATAAATATTTGGCGCATTGAACTTGTAAAGCATTTATTTATGAATGTACTATAATGGATCAGGGTGTAAAATTAGAAGGTGGATTAGAAATGTTGGAAACAATTCGAAAAATCACACGTGTAGGAATTCCTGTAATCGGTCACGTGGGTTTAACTCCACAACGACAAGCTTCTTTGGGTGGATATCGGGTTCAAGGAAAGACCGTTGAAAATGTAAATACTTTTTTAAATATATATCTTTTCGGTTATACCTTTTACAGACTCTTCTTTAGCCACCTTTTTATTTTTATTTTTATTTTTTTATAACCTAGGCCAAAAAGCTTATTGAAGATGCGAAAACTCTTGAGGAAGCTGGTTGTTTTGCTATAGTGCTTGAAGCAATATCTGAACCTGTTGCAGATTATGTAACGAAAACGTTAAATATACCAACTATAGGTATTGGTGCGGGTGCTGGCACGAGCGGTCAGGTTCTAGTTCAACAAGACATGTTAGGTTGCTTTGATCGTTTTGTCCCTAAGTGAGTCATAAAGAAAGACTGCACATTTTGCGTAATAATGGTTATACTAATGAATTCTAAATTATCTTATTTAGGTTTTGCAAACAATATGCCAATCTTGATAAAGTTATAATTGATGCCATCAAAACTTATCATAAAGAAGTAAAAACCGGAATATTTCCTTCCACTGAACATAGTTATCCAATGTCAAAAGGAGAATATGAAAAATTTTTACAATTTATCAACGAGATCGAAAAGAATTCCGATAAATAAAATATAGAAATCATTTCCTCATTAACAAATTTATTAATTTATTTATATATTATATAGTAAAATAAAATTTTCATTTCACAATGATTAGTTTTCAAGTCCAAAATTTGACCTTGTGTGAAGTAATATTTTTAAATGTTTGTAGTTTACCCCAAACACCCCTCTTAAATAGCAAATGTATTCGTTATCAGTTGATGAGGATGCATTAATCGTCTAATTCCTGTACCTTTTCCCATTCACCTTTCAAATTTTCTTGCCATAATGTCACTTTATTGTCACCAGAGGCCACAGCCAAGATTGTACCTGACGTAGACCAACTAACTGACCAAACCACATCAAGGAATTTTTCAGGTTTAAGAAGTATTTTGACCCATGGAGAAGTTGGGCTATTTTTTTTCCAGACAATAACAGTCTTGTCCTGTTATTAAAAAAAATTTATTAGTTTATTAGTTGGAAAAAAAAATTAAGTCAATCTTTTCGAACCTGAGAACAACTGGCCAAGTAGTTTTGTGGAAGTCCGAAATTTGGAGCCCATGATACGTCACGAACCCAATCTGTATGACCTTCCAGAACCTCTTCTTCCTTCCATCCATCTTCGCTATTAAAGTAATAGAGTTCATTACCTTCTGAATTGTATTAAGATTGAAATTTACATATGTAATTACCCGTAAGCCCAAATTTTTACTAGATTATCACATCCACATGAAGCGAATCTTTTAGAAACGTTTACGTTTGGTGCACCTCCAGTTACTTGAACAAGGGCACCTGGTATTGTAGCTGGCGCCCAAGATACACTGTTTGCACCAATGGTATGAGCATCAAGAACCGTTGCATCCCACGATCCATCATCTATAAAATATCAAAATTCAGACAAATATTAAAGTGTAGTACTGAAAAAAGAAGCAACTTAAATACCTTTAAAAGAAAGAACGGATACTTTTCCGTCTGATGAAGCACAAGCTAAAATTGGACCAAGCTCATGTGGTCCCCATGCCACAGAATTTACTATAAATAATAAAAAACAAATGTGAATAAAATAATTTAAGAAATTATTAAAATTTCAAATCTTTTTTTTTTGTTGTTATTTGATGATATACCAGATGCTGTATGCAGTGAATGTTCTTTGATTTTTTTCCATGACCCAGAACCATGATCCTTCCAGATAAAAACTTTACCGTCATAAGAGCATGATGCTAATATAACACCAAATTTTGGATGAGCCCAATCTACTCGCCACACAGGACCTTCATGTCTAAAATTAAGTAACCCATGAAATTAAAATCGCGAATTGATCTAATTAAGAATGAATGACTTACCCTTTCAACGTTTCAACCTCTCGTCGATCTTCACCATCGAGATCAAATATTTTAATGGTACGATCCGAGGAACAAGTAGCTAATTTTAATCCGTAATAATCGAGTTGTGCGTCATGCTAAAAAGTTTTATATTTTATTGTTCAAAAGTTGAAGAATAAATGGTCAAATAAATGCAAGATCGTTTGTAACAAAGATTTAATACTTACCACCATATCCTCATGGTGTGTTTCAAGGCCTTGATGAAGGTAATTTTTCGACTTTTCAAGAGACATTATTATATATATTTATATTTAATTATTTTATGAAAGGTTCTAAATTGCAACTGAATTAACTAGATGTTTTGTTAAAAGAACTTTCAAAAATATTTTTTTACCAAAAAAGGATTCTCGTCAAATTTACACGATACGAACATTAATTGGCTGAAAAAACTTTGCTACCTTCCCATTTTAGGAAATCCTGTCATGACCCAAACAAATCCTTAATTTTTCCGTGAACCTTAACTTGTATTTGCTTTACAAATAAATGTCGGAAGAAATTGGACCACAAATTCCAGCACATTTTCTTTCTAAAATTGGCGTTATTAATAATGAGGACGATAATGCATCACCAGAAATTGAGCCATCATTGGGTAGTGACTTGACTGAGTTTAGACAAGATAGAACTTTAGATCAAGATTCTGAAGTTCCTGAGAGTGTTACAATTGGCCCAATGATCCCTCAAGAAAGAGTACAAATCGGTCCTCAAATACCTTCTTCGTCAATAGGTGAACACAATATGAAAGACGAAGATAACGATCGTAAGTTACGGAATTCATTACCTGCTATTTCAGAAGGAACTTCTAGTCACAAAAAACGTGTTATTGGTCCTGCTATGATGCCTCCTCCTGAATATAGCAATTACCAAGAATATGAAACAGAGGAAGAAATAGTAGGGCCAGTATTGCCAAAGGATTTTAATGAAGGAAATGATGATAATGGTTTATTAAAAACAATCCGAGAGTTCGAAGAACGAGCAGAAAGAATGCGTAAAACTCTTGAAGTAAGTTTGAATTTTCTATATCTATTTATATTAATAAATACTAATTCTTTAAAGTTATAGTCAAACGAACAAGGTGATAAACCATTACAACGTGGAGAATGGATGCTAGTACCACCAGAAACAAAATTCCTGGGAGGTCAGTTCACACATATATATTCTCACTTTGCTTCCACAAACATTAAATTTAATTGTTTGTAGAAACCCCAACCAATATGAGATCACGTCAATTCAAAAAGAGAGCAGTCAATCCAAACGATAATGATAATTCGCTTTGGACAGAGACCCCTGCTGAAAGAGAAGAAAGACTGAAAAAACAGGTATAGTCATATTGATATGGGAGGCAGTCAGTAGAAAAGGAGGAAATCCAGCATTTATTTTATTGGACCACTTGATTGATCTCAATCATGTGCTATTTAAAAAATTTAGATTTCTATCGACCGTCTCCCATAATTTCTAATTAACCCTTTTGTATTATTAGGCGACTTCTACTCAAAAAAGAAAACATGTCAAAGATAACGAGGACGACGAACCAATAAAATATTCCCGCGTTGATTTAGAAACATCAGAAAAAATTAATGAATATAACGTATGTATTGAATTTCAACTTTCTCTTATATCACTTATGACTTCTCTAATACTTCTTTTTTTTATCAGTCTATATACCGGTCAAAAACTCTTTTAGAAACACATGCAGAAAGTTATGTTAAATCACGTAAATGGAAAGAGGATGATGCCAGTAAACGACCTTTTGATCGTGAAAAAGATGTATTGGGGACTCGTCGTATGGACTTGCGCAAGCGACAAGAGTTCTTGGACAATGCGAAGGGGTTGAGTTCGAAATTTGGGCACGGCAAACATGGATCGTTTTTGTAGTCTATTTATTATCTTTATATTTAATTAATATTAGAATTATCTTTATATATTTTTTACAACGTTATATACTTTCAATTATTGAATGAATGACATTGTGAATAATTTGTTTTGTCAAAATAAAAGCAATTAAATCTTTTATTAACATTCACAAGTTATTTATTCGGGATTGAAAAATTGCGAGATAAAGTTCAGAGAAAAGGAACCAATTCCCAGTCATCACTATCTTTCACCGTCATCACTATAATCTTCCAAAAATCCAAAATAACCGCCTAATTGTTGTTTAGATTGTCCTTTAGGTTCCTCTTCATCATCAGAACTATTAAATTTTACACCTTTTCCCTTCGTATTATTTCCATATTCATTTTTCACTTGTAAATCGACATCATCACTTTTTGAAATCATATAATTTAAACTTGTAAAAAATCCAGGTGGTTTAAAAGAAAGTAAAATACGTCCTTCATTATTTAAACGAAGTATATCATTTGCGGCTCGATAAACGTCTGGTCGTGATGCTTTTGTATAATATCCTCGTTTGATCGCGAATGCTGTCAAATAAAAAAAAATTATTATATTGATCCATTATAGATGAATTTTGAAATTAGCCTCTAAATATCATTTTTAAACCTTCGCATATAAACCAAGCTGACCATTCATTATTTTGTGGAGGATCAAGTTTAAGTATTGATTCTATAGGAATTCTCTCAGCCTTAATAATTTATGTTATGCAATTAATATCAATTAAGTAAAAAAGAAAGATTATATATATATATATAAAAACATACCATATATTGAATGGTACTATAGGGTTCTCGCACTTGGGAAACCGGATACATTCCTGATAATATCTGTAAAGTTTAATATGATAAGTTTTTACATTTTGTAAATTAAACGAACAATTTTGGCAATTTCAAAGTGCAGAACCTGTATTTGTTTGGGTAAAAGACTTGGAAAAACTAATCCTGGAGAATCGCAAATACGAACAATCTTTGATAAATGAATTGTTTGAAAATGCTTCGTGTGTCCTAATATAAATTAGCCGTGTATATGTTGAATTTGTAATATAATAAATTACGTTATTTATAAGTGACTTACCTGGAGTTTTAGAAACGCTAACAACTGTTCTACCAAGTATACTATTAATTAGGCTACTCTTCCCAACATTAGGATGTCCTGTTATCAATTACAAGTTATTCTCGATTATATAAAAATTGCAATTCGAAAGATTTCTTGCGTAACGCACCCACAAGTCCTATTGTAATTAACTCATGAGAATATACTTTTGTATTTTGAATATCTAAAGTTCTTAACCGATCTTCTTTTTATCATAATAAATAAATGAAATCAATAAATAATTTTCAAAAAAAAAAAAAAAAAAGTATAAATTTAAATTAAGTCAATATACCAATTCTCTTAATATTCTCTTCCTCTTCTACATCCAGTGATTCAATATCATTTGTCTCTTCTTGACTTTCGTCATTAACGTCCATTTCATCCTCTTCCGTGATATCACTTATATTGTCAAATCCTGTTGTAATTCGACCATACTGTTCTACCAATTCCATCCAATTTACATCTACGCCTTCTTTGACCAATTTCATATTTTCACATGCAATTAACAATTCTTTGATTCCTGAAGCAAGGTAACGTCTTTTTTTTGGACGTTTCGTTCTTTTCTTTAAAAATGCTAACTTTTCCAAAATAAATATTCGTATTAATAAGATTGACATACAAAAAAATATATTTTTACACATTGTTGTCATGAATAAACCTGTGGAAGTGTCATCGACAAATTTATTATCTCTAGGATAACAACTAAATTCAACAACGCCAAGTTCAGGAAATTGTTCTTCAAAATATCTAGTCCATGCATGCACTGTATTTTCCGCTACCAAATCCACCTGCGAAAATCAAAAATAATTTAAATCAATCATTACGTAAAATATAAAAAAAAGATATATATAATATTTTAAAACCTTATTAAATACAAGAAGCATCTTTCGTTTCATGTCTTTAACAACATAATTATATAATGAAGGCGGAAAATGTAACAGAGGATGTCTAATATCAACCACAATCAATATTATTTCTGAAATTTCAAGGACACGCCATCTAAGAAAGATTACATTATTTAATTAAGTGAATGCAAACGTACAAAGACAAAGAATTTAGACAATGTATGTTACAATTGACGCCAGACCTATGAGATTAAAATATAAAGGGCTTTATATTAGATTACATCGAAATTGCCATGAAATAAAAAAAAATGTTTATTTACATCAAGATTATGCTCAAAAAAACTTAATTCCCCTTTTGGATATTTATCATAGACATCATCTAACCATTGTTGAAAATTATGTTCTTCATTAGCTTCCAATTCTTCCTTTGTCATTTCATAATTCCAAGACGGCCGTTTTGGAAAATCAATGATGGATTTGTAAATATCATTAACGGAAACCTCTAATACAGTCTTTAAAATAGTACATATGAGATTTTAACATCATTTCTTTAATCAAATACATTGGCATAAAAATAGCTGACGCGTACTGAAGGTAAGCGAGTGAAAGTGTTCATACTCGCTTTACGTTGAGCATTGATCTCTTGTGATGATAATTTTTCGAAAACTGAATGTAATCTATCGACATCGAAATGAAATCGTCAAGATTTATTAATACATTAAACGTGCAAAATGGCAAAATTCAAAAATTCAGAATTCAAAATTCAACCTTTTACTTGGGTTATTCAGCTTTCTTATGGAAGAAGCAGCGATTCGCTTATCATAATATAATTGTTCTCTTTTTGATGGACTATCATTTTTAACGCGTTTTCTTTCTTCGATATTTTTATCTATAGCTTCGAATTCTTCATTATCTGATATTTTAGAATATAAGAAATTAATAAAATCAATAAAAAAAATATGCGTAATTAAACATACCCTCTTGAGTCTTAGAAGCATTTTTCGCTCGTTTTTCGAGTAGCTGCTTTTTCTTTTGTTTTCCACTAAAAGGTTTTTTACGATGACCATTGCCCATTTCTTATGACCATGATTGATATTTTTTTTGATTGGAGTTATTTTTTAACCTTAAATGTTTATTCAATTTTCATATAATAATATCTATTTATTAGATTATACTAAATCAGTAAAAAAAATACCTAGCATTTTGTTTATGATTTGATGATACAAATTAGAGCCCACGGGTTCGTGCGATGCAAAATTAAAATTACTAAAAATGCAAAAATATGCAAAAAATATTTTTATATAGTAAAAAAGATGAATTTCAATTTGATTGATTATTATAATATAAAAAGTTCAACATTTCAATAGAATTCTCTGAAAGCGATCTGCGTCTATCATCCAAAATT